AGTAGCTAGACAGTTTTTACTGTACATATATCTAATATAAAGTTACGGATACATATTAAGAATCACTTTATTTTGCACAAACTAAATAATCTTGGAAAAATAGCACAATATACTCAAAATATGAAGGTTTTATTTGATTTACATGTGACCCGAAATATGATATACTATTATATGACACATACATAAAAATACTACTTTCCTGTTAATGAATATTTACAAGCCTTTGCTTATGTGTGTCAAAATCCATGGTTAGTATATAGTGACATATTACTACAGTCTGACTAGGGTACCTTGTTAACACAAACCTCAGTACATAAAGTGAAAATTCCAGATTATATAAAGTTACTGCTTAATTTTCTCCTTTCATTCTCCTTTAAGTAAAATAAGTATCGCATATTCAATATTGCTATCATATATATGTATATATACTCTTTAATAAAGCTATATTAATATAAAGAACTCCAAACATCATAAGACATATAAAAAAAACTAATGTGTGATTATGTGTATTTAATCTATATATATATATATGTGTATATGTTATGGATATTATTATACAAATCATTTTGATGTTAAGGGGCATTCGCAATACCAAAGATCTTTGGTAACCTGGTTGACGCCTGATCAGCTATATCACCATGAGAAGGGGCTACATACATGTCTTACAGGGGGCTTCACCCTAAAACTGACCTCCTTTTGCCCTGCCTTCTCTTTTCTCCCTCTGGTTAAACTGAATATTTTTTTGTATTTATTTATTTTTAACATTTATTGTGCTGCAAAAGAGCACTTCCGCAATTCACCACTAGGTGAGAATGACATCTGGGCCCCACCCTGCCATCCACCTGGATTCTACACATGTGCAGATATGCTGCAGGGCTTGGGGTCCCCCATAGATCTGCACACGTGCAAGGTTTCCCTGAATATGTGCAAAGATGAGCAACTGGCAAAACTTCCCCTACGCATACACAGGCTTGCTGAAAACCCGACAACCTGGCCAATGTTTGATGGAAAAAATGTTGTTAGGTGTATCCCAGAAATGGCATGCAGTCAGTATTTTAAAAAAAGTGTGTTTGTTGGCTCTCTAAAACCCAATAATTAAAGTCCAAATAAATTTCATTTTAAATCAGCTAAACATAATCCAGATGCATCAAAACAAAAGCTGTGCTTAAGTCTTACAGTTCATTTTCTTTGGAAAGCAACCACTGCTTGCTTGCTGCAGAGAAGGACACTTGCTTTCTGGGTGGAAGCAGTGGTCGCTCTGTGGAGGTCCAACACAACCACTGCTGCTCTGCAATTCGGAGAGCCCATGCTCCCTGCTGATTGGAGAGCTATAGCTATGATGCAGCAGGGTGTGTGTCAGACCTCTTCAGAGACACCATTTATTTCACATAGAGAGAGAGGATCTTTTTCTACAGCATACTGGCAGGGGACAGGTCATAGCTGCTTTTAAAGAAGGTAAACTATAGCACTTAATGCAGTATTTGTTTTTAGAATGTATTTAGCTGATTAACCGCTTCCTGACTGCCCTATAGTAGAAATACTGCTACAGGGCACAACGGGTTTGCAAAACACGTATATATACGTGATTTTGCATTTCCAGGTAGGAGGCGTGCGCGTCCTACCCTTGCTGCCATTCCTGCCCATGGCTGTTAATCACAGAGTCCTGGACAGTGATTACTCACGGGCGCCGGGTGATTTACAAAGATCTCTGATGGGGAGGAGAACTGTTTTGTTTACTAACAGTTCTCCTCCTTGTCAGCTTGGGCCCACTGCTTTGGATGGCTGTGCACAGCACAGCCATCCAAAGCAGTGTGATTACAGTGAAGCACACTGACACCACCCCCTAGTAAAACACTCCCAGCACACAGTTAACCCTTTGATTGCCCTTCATGTTAACCCCTTCCTGCCCAATGCCATTAGTACAGTATCAGTGCTTTTTTTTAGCACTGATCACTGTAATGTTGTCACCGGGGATGTCAGTGACACCAAGTCTGTTCCCCCCAGTGTCAGAATGTCCACCGCAGTCCCGTTATAAGTCACTGATTGCTGCCATTACTAGTAACAATGAAACAAATTCCCAAAATTTATGAAAAAATTAGATTTTTTAAAATTATTTTACTGGACATGTTTATTAACACAAAGTCAAAAATATTGTTTTTTTTTCTCAAAATTGTTGGTCTTTTTTTTTATAGTGCAGAAAATAAAAAACGCACAAGCGATCAAATACCACCGAAAGAAAGCTCTATTTGTGGGGAAAAAAGGATGTAAATTTAATTTGAGTGCAGCGTTGCATGACTGCGCAACTGCCAAAGTAACGTAGCGCCGTAATGCAAAAAATGGCCTGGCCAGGAAGGGGGGGGGGGGGGGGGAATCCTCAGGAGGGCAAGTGGTTAAACTAACAGTTTAGTTGCGATTTAACTTCAACCATAACACATATCATATATGCATGTCCACTTATAACTATATTAAATAAAGACTACAAATAATTAGTTAACTTTACTTAAACATTGCTTAGTGAAACATTATACACATTTTTACAAGCTTTATTATTACTTAGCATACAAATAATGTGTTGCCTCCAGGGCAAAGAACAGCATACATCAACAAAATATTCACAGTAAACACAGCTTCAAATCAATATATATAACAAAAAAATCTAAATCAGTTCCCCAGTGGGTTGGCATAGCTGACATAAAATTGTGGTCAGACAGAACCGTTGTCCTCTGTGTACAATACTTGGTCGTTTTCCTGGACTCATAATTCTCCAAAATCTGAATATTTATTCCTAGAAAAATGGGTGAGCGATAAACATGATCAATAAAAGGCATTCACTATATCAATATAACTGTAATTCCTCAGCCACTTTGCAAAAAAAAAAAGAAACACATTTTTGGTTCTGCTTCTAAGTACTGCCTTATTGTTTTTCACAATCTCCATGCCAAATCGAGAATGAAGACATATCCGAGCATTCCATTCTACTACCCCCATTACCCCATTACTTGCTAGCCTCTACTCTACTCACTTGTTAGTGATAATCTTTTCCTAATTGCAATGTCTATGTCCAAAATATAGATATTCAATACCAAAAAAAAAACAAAAAACAATCACATCTCTTACTTACTGATCTTACTTCTTTTACAACTAAACTTTAGTAACTGATATGGGGGTTGGTTTACTAAAGGCAAAAAGACTGTTCACTTTGCATGAGAAATTGCACTTTGCAATCACATTTTCCCAAGAGCTTTGTTCAGGAAGTGAAGCTTTGCTGACTTCCAACATCCAATCGTATGTAAAAAATCCTGTTGTTTTTTTTTTTTTATTTTTCTTGCACGTAATTGGTTATTCTTTGCAAATTGAAATTTCACAGCATTCACTAAGCCAAGGGTGCTAAACCTGTGGCCCATGGGCCAAATGTGGCCCTCAGAGCCCTCTGATGTGGCTCTCGACCTCAAATCAGGGAAGCGCACTTCTATTATATCCTGTAGGTTTGGTTCACTTTCGGAGGTCAGGAGTTTTGGTGCACTTTCAGAAAGTGCATGACACCGGAGGATATAATAGAAGTCTTTAACAAAGCACAAATAACCTGCAGGAAAGCCCCAGGTGCACAGTGTGAAAGCAGCCTTATAGGGGGCTCAGGATAGTAAGAGCTTGTTTACATTCGTGGTTTGGGGGCGGTAAAAGCACAGATTAGTTGAACCAATCCTCTCCATTTTCCTCCTGCAACTGCTGACAGTCAGATTCTCATACTCTCTGTCCCGCTGGCATTCAGCGGCTGCAGGAGGAAAATGTTCATTATATTATTCAAAACAAAAAATGTGAAATTCTGAACTATTTAATTGCATTGTGGTCCACAACTGGTTACCAAATCTCTTAAGTGGCCCTCACTCTTGAAAAGGCTAAGCACCCCTGCACTAAGCTGTGTGGAAAATTCCCTTACAAAATCCAACTTCCCTTGCAAAGTGAACGGTCTAGTTGCCTTTAGTAAATCAACCCTATGGATTACAGCACTCCAAACATCACTGCCAAATGTTTTTTTGATTTTGTATTGAGCAGGGAATAGTTAAAGCTTCCTGGGTTTTTTACTGCCATCTATGTCACTATTAGTCATATTTCCCATCATATCCTGTCTAGTTAGGAAGTAATGTGAAATGTCTCCTATAGGGACATAATTTGTTTTGAAGGTTTACAATTACTAACATTTTTTTTAATTGCTTTCTGTGCTTTGCTTAATTGACTATTGCTCCTATCATTTCTTGCACAGGTGGCACAAGGACAGGAAGTAAGAAAAAAATATTTTAAGGGAGACAGGAGACAAAAATTTAAAAAAACTTGACAAATTCTAACTCTTCCCTACTCTATCTAAAACGTAAACAAGTAAAAAATTATAATGCTACCTTATCTATAGCAAAACCTCATATGCATCTTTACTACTTTTTTGCTGTGTTTGCAGTGCATTTTTTACAGGACATGTGACTCAAAAACTGCACCAAAAATGCAACGCAGGTGTGTTTTTGATACGTTTTCAGAGCATTTTCCATTGATTTCAATGGGGAGGTGCCTTTTTAGTGCGTTTTTTTTACCACACCAACCCTGCAACAAAAATGCAGCAAGCAGGATTTCAAAAATGTGTTTTTTCTTCTGCTTTTTTTTAAACAAAAGCGGAAAAAAACCAGATCAGAGTAAAAGTAGCCTAACCCGTGGCAGAATGAGCAGTCAATATGCTCACTGACTGACTATAGTCCCTATTGAAAGAAATCTTGTGTTGTACATATAGTTATAAGAAAAATATAAGATATTAAGAAATCTCCATGATATCATATAAAGATCTACAGTGCATCTTCTGGTTGTCAATATAAACACTACTTGTATGTGTGGGGCTGAAAAGAGCACATCTTAATATTTAGACATATGAGTCACAGTCAATGACTTACAACCCCAAATTATATCACACTTGAAATATGTAAAATGTTTAGAAAAGTGCAGTCTTACACACATATCAGTCATACCTTTACATCTGTGGTCTTCCTGGATAAAAACCAGACTTGCATTGGGTCTGTTTTGCCCTTCATGCTAATCGGGCCTCTGTACTGTAAGTGGAACTGAGGATCAGCATTTTCAGGGCTCATAAGACACCTGTAAAATGAAGATACAAATATTTCAAAGTAAGTGTAAAAATGATCAGTGGGAATTACACACCAAAGGCCTCATGCACTGGAATAGGCGATTCCTTAAACACTACATCCCTTGTTCATAGCATAACATGGACAAGCTTGGGATTTTGGAAGGTACCATTGTAAAACTGCCAACATCTGAAACCGATAATAAATAATATAAGGGGCTAGTATATATCTGTATATGTACAATAATCCTACATACATAAGATAGTACATTTACATTTGTATTCCCATTCTACATAAAACATTTTCCATAAAACTATGTGAACAACTTTGTGATAAAAACATGTATTTTGCAAATATCACTGATTCCCCCATTTGTGTGTTACTCTATATACCACCACCTTGTTAATTGCATTAAAGATACAGCAGCTTGAACTGTTTAAAAGAGGGACAGTTAAGCACAAGTTCAATCACCAAGATTCCCATGCAGGGCCATAATTACTTGTAGATTGCCCTGGTGCACCTGGACATCACAGATTGCAATACAAATAAATAAGAATCATTAAGGACTGCCACCTATACCCAATCAACATGGAACATTCTAAGATAAATCAGTCATTATGTTCAATTAGTGCCCTCATTTTAGGGGGTGGGTATGCTATATGCTTCTATATCCTTCTTTAAGCTACACAATCCACAGATATATAGGTTAAAATATCTAAAGTGCAATATCAACCTCAGAGCAAGAGTTCTCCTTTTAAGCAGCCCAGTCAACAGTTGTTTATACGAGAACATACCGAAAGCAACATTCACATCAGAGCCCAAGAGTCTCACCCTGTCCTTAGCATGGCAAAGGAAACAGGGACACCAGTGGTCCCATAATAGGAGCAGTAAGAAACCGGCTGTGAAGTTGGAAGGCTTCACTGCCGGTTTCCTTTACCTAAGATGCTGGTGCCTGCATCCGAAACCAATGGAAGAACATTGCTGAAGGACATCGCTGGATCCCTGGACAGGTAAACTTCCTTGTATTAAAAGCAAGCAGCTGCAGTATTTGTAGCTGCTGATTTTTCATTTTTGGGAGGAGACTGAAGCGCCTCTTTAATGTATTTCATTCTATAGTTCACTGGTCTCTCCGTTCGCTTTTGGAATATTTTGTTCACAGTCTAAACATTAATTTATTAATGACTCACAGAGTTATTAAGGAGCACAGATCCTCACAACCCTAAATCTTTTAACACATGTTTATGATCTTTATTAGATCCCTAGGACTGGATTTTATTAACAAAAATCCCTGGGCACTGAAATCATCCACTGGACGCCAGCCTTTTATAAATGCACACGTAGACAAATAGTTTAGAATTGTTCTATCCTGACTTAATTGCCCATAATATCTCAGTCATGCTTTGGAAAGTACAAACATTATGTGACCAGCCATTTAGGTTAATAAGCTGAGCCATTTCACTGGGCATACATTTATTACATGGAGGAATTTTGCACTTCTCTGTTGTCTTATCCTTGGCTAATCTCTCCTATAAAGTGCCAGTAAATCATATTTGATATGCCTGGTATCTAGTTACATGTGTCTCTGTGTATTTTCCGGCTACAGCAGAAGCAATATAAATCTTTATCTATGGGAGATTACTGTGCTGAAATGTTAGGCTTTTATAAAAAAAAAAACTACTTCTTCTCACCAAGATCTTCAGGCTTAAGGAATATATAAACGGAAGGGAAATGCAATACAATTGGCATATTAAAAGGAAATGATGTATGTCTGCAATATGAAAGATTAAAAGCTAGAGAAAGAAACCTGAATTTTATTATGAATGTATGTTCATGGTAACAAAACAGTCAGAGGCAAGGATACCTTCGAATTCCATTGTATTATGCACATATAGGCTCCCAATGTATGCTGTCACAAATTGCAGTAAAGCTTATTTTGAATGCTTTCTTTAAGGGAGTCTTACCTAGCTATCACAGTTACCTGTACTGTTTTGCCAAATGGTTAAACAACCTCATGCTCTGAGCCATTTGACAACTCTGTTGATATATGGAATGCTAATCGTATTCTATTAGTATAATGACAATATGTTTGATAACAAACTACAATATTTCAGAAAGGGCTTCTTCCATAATGCTCGGTGAGAGTCTTGTTTCAGACTGCAACTACTCCTGGTTCTTTAGATGCTAAGGTAATAGTGCCACAATGACTACAATCATGGAAGAAAGAACTAAACAACAGTAGAGTGTGAGAATAATGTATATAGAACCTCTAATTAATGTATTTCTAGAAAGTTGAAGTTATCATATGTATATGGAGGTCTTCAATGTGTGTGTTTTTTTCTTCCTATTTTGGGTTGAAGTGGATGGATTTGTGTCTTTTTTTTCAACTAGATTAACTATGTATGTATAGTACAAAATGTATACAGGAGAGGTTTTTGTAGTTAGATAAAAATCCCATCTGCATCTCAAAAACCCACCAAAAAAATCAAACAAAAAGATACTCAGAAAACAAGGAGAAAACTCAAAAAAACAGTCCTGACTCAAAAAAAGAAACGTTTAATGGGACAATGTATACAACCTATGGGATTCTCTAATAAAGGCCAAAAACAAAACAAAAAACCCCCACTTGTACCACAATTACAAAAAAACAAAGAAAAAACTTACCAGAGTTTCAATGACTGTACCCTTCTACCCCGGCCCCCAAGTAAAAACCTTTAAAACCTTTTTAAAATATAAACTGCCATATTTAATGGAAAGAGCCAATAAAGGTTCCTATAGCTATAACAAAAGGATGCTCAAAAAGGCTCTTAATGATTAATGGAATAAATACTGGCAGTCCCAGGTTACAAACATGATAAGAGTCTGTAGGTTTGTTCTTAAGTTGAATTTGTATGTAAGTTCGAACAAGTACATTTTTCAAGTGTGGCCCCGCCCAAAAAAATATTTTTGAGTTTTTTGGATAGCATAGGGAAATGTTTGTAATGTTTGTTTTTCTGTGTGCCCCTGTTTAGAAGATTTCACTTCACTTTCTGTCCCTGTGACAATTGGATTTTGAAAATTTTGGGCTGTCGTGGAAACAAGGATTGATGATAAACCTTCAGTGGATACACCTTTCTCCCATGATACCTCTTACAGTAGTGAATTTCCCTTCCTAGGTGTAGATATCCTCTCACTTTTTGTTTCTCTCTCCCTCCTTTTGTAAGTACGAGTCGTTCATAACTCAAATGTTCTTAACTCGGGGACTGCCTGTATGCTATATCCAGTCTAGAGAGTGAAACGTTATATATGCTATACGCTGTGGTCATAAAGTTAGGAGACCATTATGGGCTAAAAAATGCCCCAATTAATCCGTACCCAACTCAAGGGAAACATAAAAAAATAAGCCACAGCCTATCAACCCCTTTCATTAGTACCTTTCTTACTGAAATACAATAATATAACTAACATAGTCAAAGTAAATTGTAAATATAAACCTGAAGTCTTATACTATTATCCCATTGAACTGTATAGTAAGAATCTCATTAAACTGACAACCTGCACCAAGGGCTTCCAAGAAAGGTATGCAAAAATAGCACTTTTATTTATACAGTACATTGTTAAGCAACCACTTAAAAAAAAAGCTCCACTATCCAATAAATAGCAGTGATGTTTTCAAACTCTTCAAGCAGCTTTTTTTTTTCAAGAATGAAGTACCACAGGATATACAGTATGTGAAAATGGAAACAAGCTAGATTCTCCATTTAATGGCCATCTATTGTTGGGTCAGATGACAGATAACGTCTTCTTAGGAATAAAAGGGATTTGTCTGTGCATATGCAAAAGACTACAGTAGCAACTGTGTGGTTCCCCATGGGCAACACAGCATGGATCTGCCAGGATCATGCACAAGTGAGTATAAGAGTTTGGTGGGGGGTGTAATGGGAGTCATTAAAAGGATATCTGTACAAAAGTACAGTTATCCTTGAAAGTACTGAAAAGTATTAAATATTTTCTTTATGCTTTGAAAAATTTCATAGCTGTTCATTTCGAAAATAAAGGCATATGTCCATGGTATTCGAACAATAAACTGGTCTTACCGGTATGTATATTCAGAGACATTGATCTTCCCTTTCTCCCCTGTTGTCTCTGTTCTGCTGGTCAAATTAACAGTATTTCCAAACAGGCAGTAGCGTGGCATTCTCTGACCAATAACCCCTGTCACCACTTCTCCAGTGTGTAAACCAATTGTGATCTGGAGGGGAGAAAAGAAATGCAAAACAAGTGGTGTTTTATTTATTCAATAAATAAAAAAGTTTATTTATAATTTTTCACATTTGCACTTTGCTTATTTGTTGATGATTATATGATTTATATGAGCGCTTCTTTCTATTGTAATTATGGTTATGACTGATATCGCAGTTGTAGCTAAGTGACTGCTTCGTATTTGATTAATGTAAATTGACTCAGCGCGGATTTATTTTTAAATGTCAACATTTTAAAATAAATAAAAGGGTGCACAGAACAGATGGCTTTGATTACATGGAAAAAAATTATGTAAAATAAAAATTCACAGCTTAAGTGCATTAAAGCTCCTTGCAACTATCATTTTTCTATGTTCCTAGAAGCTGTTATTAACATTTTTCTCTGCTCCTAGAAGCTAAACAGTGTTATTCTAGGTGTCCATGCACATTATTTTAGGCTATTAGCATTTTTTTCAGCTTCAGCATCTAGGAACAGAAAAAAAATTGTTTTGGTAAAGGTTTTTGGAGAGTTTTTTTTCAGCAGAATGCTCCTAAACGCTGCAAAATGTTACTACAACACTCTTAACGGCTTTTTCTAGCTTTTTTCCTACATGTACTGTAAAAACACTAATAAAACGCTAATGTTCCTAAACGCTACTAAAATGCTACTACAACGCTACTAAAAAGCCGCTACTACCAGCGTTATGTATCCAGCGTTTATTTAGCTTAAAAGAAATGCTAGTGTGCATGGAGCCTAAAAGCAAATCTCTACTTTGGTTGAAAAAAAAAAAAACAATCCTCTACATGTTACTTAGGAAAATTATTTGTAGCAAAAAATTTTTTTAGTTCACTCAGTTTTAAGGTGAAGGGGTGCATTACACAAATTTAAAATATAGGAGTTGAGATGGTTGCCTTCTTATGGAATAATAATCACCTGTACAGATTCTCCATCCACCTGAACCTGTCCAGCAATCTCCATCATATCCAAGGCAAGGTGGCAGATAGAGCGTGCATGATGAACGCAAGGCTCTGGGATACCACTGACAGTCATGTATTTGTCTCCAACTGTTTCCACCTGAAAGAAGATCATGCCAGGTTAAATTTCCATGTAATGAATGTACAGCTTGTACAGCTGTAGGGGAAATGCATTTTGCATTTTGTTTTTAAGTTTAATCTGAATTTGATTAGGATCTAGAAGTATTTTCTTTTCACTTTGCTTCATGTGTCATCAAAATGTCATCCTAGCTTGATCATAATTACCAAAATCACAAAAAAAGATCAAAATCACAAATGTGTTCAACAAACTTCATTTCTGTAAACCACACTAAATGGTTAGTATGAAAGTAAAAAATACCATACGTACAGTACAGCTGAACGGTAACAGCAAATCTAATAGTGAACTGATGCAAAAGTACTGCATTCTGTATCTAAGCAGGGCTTAGATGTACCTAAGCAAAGCCTAGATACACTTATGCCAAAATGTAGCGCTTTGGTATGAAATGGCTTAACACCTAAATCACACAGAAATGTGGTCCGTGTTCCTGTGCAATTCCTGTACATTCATTTGTATGGGCTTCAAACTGTACTAGAATGCAGTAAAAGTAGTGCATACATTACTTTTCAAAAATGCGCTGCACCAAATCACATGGTATCTTGTGATTTGGTGCCCGCAAATGTACTGCTTTTGCGATCTGCATTTGGGTTGCTGATAACAATGCATTGGCACCTGCAGCAGATCACAAAGGCAGTGCGTTCTGAGTGCGGTATGGGAAACACCCATGAAAAGCACCTTTCCCAGACTGCTTTCTGGTGTGTACCAGCCCTAAAGTGGAACTTTAGTCTGTATTTCAACTGAAATTATCCAGCACTTGTATTGCATGTGAATTGCACAGGAACACACATCATATTCCTGTATGATTTATGGTGTGAACTGGCCCTAAAAAGCAAATGCATGTTAAATTTCAGAAGTGGCTAATCTAGTACACAAACTGAGTACAAAAATAATGAAAATCAAAAATAAAAGAAGCAAGAGATTAGCAACTACAAAAATAAGAGAGTTTTGATAAGTGTCCCCCAGCACAAAACTTTGGTAGGTATGGTGACTTCACAGAATCTTAGGAGATAGCCCCCTCCAGCACAAATCAGCTTATTGACAGCCTCAGCTGTACATGTATTCCTATATGACTGTATGGATGGGAGTGGGGCAGGGAATGTCCATTCCTCCACTTAGATCTCAGATTACATTCAGTTTCCTTCTCTATGATGTGCAATGTGTAACACCAGATCTCCATCCTCTGCCTTCTGGAGCTGAGAAATGTGAATTCTAAATTCTGTACTTTGAATGGCTGTAGAGAAGAAATCACTTCAGATAAACAGGTGCAACTCATGTAGGCAGATTTGTTTCATCTCTATGTAGCACCTGAGGTCAGTCACTTCTGTGGGCATGTGTAAAGGTTTACAACCACTTTAAAGCTGCCCATTAACTAGTGGAATTTTGTTCAAAATTTTTCATTTTAAAAAAAGTTTGCTCAATCTTCTAATCATTAGTGGGGTCGTACTGACTTAATTTTCAACCACAGTAATGAGAAAAAGAGCAGAATGGAAACTTTTTCTTGAACACATGAATTTGTGTTTTTTGTTCAAGAAAATCCGATCATTCCAAAATCAAATGTTAAAAGCAAACAAAATTTTAACTACATTTGAATGACATTCATCAAGTCATTGAATATCCTCGTTCAAAAATCTACTTATGTATGGCTAGCTTAACTGTATTGATCAAGGCATATAGCCTAGCTTGTTCTCTCCCACTGCTGTTCATTTCACCTTATAGACAAAGGGATTATTTCTTGAGTCTGTCAAGATGTCAAATCTGGTGTAAATGTCATTCAAGAGATTCACAATCTTCATGGCTCCTTCACCAGAAGCATGTTTGCTGCAGAAAGCATTGAATCCCACAATTCCACTGAAAAGGATTGTGACGTTGTCATATCTTTTGGCTGGAACTGGCCTTTTATGTCTGAGTTCGTTAGCGACAGATGGGGGAAGAACGGAGTACAGCAATCTATAAAAGGATAATAACATGTCTCAGAAAAAAAAATCCCAAAGAAAAAATGTAAAAACAACTAGCATATACCTTTTTCCATTCATTCATGAATTCATTTGCATTAAAAATACATTTTATATATATATATATATATATATATACAGTATATATACTCTGTGTGTATATGTATATATATACACACACACACATAAATATATATACCGTATTTTGCGCTCCATAAAACGCACCTAGGTTTTAGAGGCGGAAGACAAGAAAAAAAATATACTGAACCAATGGACTGCAGACATAGTACAGGAAATGACCAGAGACTGCGGACACAGTACAGGAAATGACCAGAGACTGCGGACACAGTACAGGAGATGACCAGAGACTGCGGACACAGTACAGGAGATGACCAGAGACTGGAAACAGTACACGAAATGACCAGAGACTGTGGACACAGTACAGGAGATAACCAGAGACTGCGGACACAGTACAGGAGATAACCAGAGACTGCGGACATAGTACAGGAGATGACCAGAGACTGCGGACATAGTACAGGAAATGACCAGACACTGCGGACATAGTACAGGAGATGGCCAGAGACTGCGGACAAAGTATAGGAGATGACCAGAGACTGCGGACATAGTACAGGAGATGACCAGAGACTGCAGACATAGTACAGGAGATGACCAGAGACTGCGGACAAAGTAAAGGAGATGACCAGAGACTGCGGACACAGTACAGGAGATGACCAGCGACAGTGGACACAGTACTGGAGATGACCAGAGACTGCGGACATAGTACAGGGGATGACCAGAGACTGCGAACACAGTACATGGGATGACCAGAGACTGAGGACACAGTACAGCGGATGACCAGAAACTGCGGACACAGTACAGGGGATGACCAGAGACTGCAGACACAGTATAGGGGATGACCAGAGACTGCGGACATAGTACAGGAGATGACCAGAGACTGCGGACACAGTACAGGAGATGACCAGAGACTGCGGACACAGTACAGGAGATGACCAGAGACTGCGGACACAGTACAGGAGATGACCAGAGACTGCGGACACAGTACAGGAGATGACCAGAGACTGCAGACACAGTACAGGGAATGACCAGAGACTGTGGACATAGTACAGGAGATGACCAGAGACTGCGGACACAGTACAGGGAATGACCAGAGACTGCGGACACAGTACAGGAGATGACCAGAGACTGCGGACATAGTACAGGGAATGACCAGAGACTGTGGACATAGTACAGATGACCAGAGACTGCGGACATAGTACAGGGAAAATTCCAGGGACATAGTACAGATGACCAGAGACTGCAGACAGTGCAGGGGATGACCAGGGACTGCAGACAGTAAAGGAGATGACCAGAGACTGTGGACCTTTGGGGAGGGAGGGGGAGCGGGTACCTGAATTTGACAGGTACCCACTCCCACTGCCATGAAGTTGTCCTTCCCTCTTCTCTCGCCGGCTTCTGTGACAGCCGGGTGCCCACTGTGCATGCGCGAGAAGCGCTGCACTTTGTGAATGGCCCGGCGCCTTCTGGGACCTGTCATGTGTCCCAGAAGACACCGAACCATTCACAAAGCACAGCGCTTCTCGCGCAGTGGGCACCCGGCTATCACAGAAGCTGGCGCGGGAAGACTGTACAGCGCTGGAGTGAGGAACAGGTAAGGTCCTGCAGGAGAGAAGAGCTGAGCGGCCGGCCCGATATTCTGACATGGTGGCGGCAGAAATACCGGACCGGCCGCTTTATATTCGCTCCATAAGACGCACTGACGTTTTCCCCCCTTATGGAGCGAAAAATATGGTATATACAAATTTTTATTATTGAAGAAAAAAAAAATTATATTATATATATATATATATATATATATATTTTTTTTTTCTTCAATAATAAAAATTTGTAAGAATTTAAATTAAAGGTCTCTACTGGGAAAATGGAATTCAGGCATTTGTCAGAAGGGCTAACCCATCTGTATTTCAATTTGGACTGTTGTCAGATTCTATTATTAAATAAGCCTTCATCTCTCTATTCAATCACTCTTTGAATTCTGTTAGTGATTGATCCTATGTTTGTATGCTTTGGGTGGCATTGGTCCCATTTCACATTTACATTAGAAAGTATGTGTTTGTTGGTGGTGAGAAGGGGGAGGGGGTGTTAGTAGCTCACTGCAGGGGCATCAGGAGGGATAATACTATATACAAACTAATGTTGGAATAATTGAATAAACCTTCACACTGATTGGTGCAGACTATCTGATGCACACTGTCAATGAACATATGAGGATGTTGACTATACTAATATTTGTGGAGATGTGTGTGCACTTAGAACATCCAGTATGAAGTGGCCACAAGGAAGTTGTTGGCACTTAGTATTTATCAATGACATAACCATAAAATGGTTAAACATTTCTTACGTATCAGTCTTTTTCTTCTCATCTTCTAAAGCTCTTAAGGTGTGCTGAAGGCGATCAGTCAGAATTTCAAGTTCTTGAGTCAGTTTATATTCCTCCCTGAACTGCTCCCCAAGCAGTACCAAGTCACGGGTGGCATCATGGAGAGGGATGTCACTGAGATATAGACCTCTTCTGGTCAAGTCATCCAAGTTCATTACACTGTAAGAAATGAATACATTGATAAATTAATAATTATACACTTTGCTCTTTCAGAAAAATATCCTGGCTGTGTATAAAATACAGTATAGTTTATATTATGAAAACATACTTTTTAGAAAAAGGATTGTCAGTACATTTTCTATTTAAAAAAAGCCCAGTTTCCTTGTACTTGCTAAATCGCACAGCTGACTCACAAGTACTCGCAAATGAAATAAAGTATTTCCTAATTTAGTAAACTTAAAGGGATACATGTATGCTTTCAGTTTAGGCATCAATGTGGCTGATATGGAACAGCTTTAAAAAACTCCTGAAATATGTGGATAGACAACAACTCTAGTTGTCTAAGCTAACATTGATGAATTCACCATAAAATGCTAGTTGTTTGGCTGTCACACAGTTTAGATAATGTTTTAAAGTGAATCTATAGGCTCATCTCATCTTGTATGCTCATATCCAAAGGGTGCATAATAGGTCCCCTTATCTTTCAAGCTATTCTGTTTTAAAGTGATCCTTACTTTGTATGCAAGACTCCATTATGGCTTAGTTTATCTTTAGAGTGTTTAAGATTCCCTAAAGCCCCACGTACTAATAAGAGATTACTGATCACACAGCTTTTTTGGCTGATAACTGACTACCCTCCTCTACACCTTCCTATTGTCTGTTCAGTGAGATGGGTGACTTCAATTGTTGATAAAGATGTGCAGGTGCAGGAGGAATTTTCCTTGGTAAAATATAGTAATATCATAAGACTGGACACCTTATTTCCTGAGAAAAACATGACTTGAAAATTGTAGTTGCCTGGCTGTCATGCTGACTCTCCCGCTCAAATGTTTTAACACCAATAGTTTATACAGAAAAGGACTACTTTACTGATAGGTATTTTTGTTACTGGTCAGTGACTCAGAAAGTGCTGAAGTGGGAGTATTATTGAGCAAAACAAACAGATCGCCAGCACTTTCAGAAGAAAATGAATAATGGCAGATCTAATATTACACTTAGGAAAGGTTACTTTAATGATTTAGATGTTGGAGCAGCCACTAATGCCATCATGGGGTCAATAGTAATGGCACAAATATGTCATACAGTGGGATACATATACATATTCATGAAAATACATAATGCATGTAGCTTGCATCATTAATGTTGACATGGGCTTTGGAGAGGATTGGTAAACAACTTTCTTTCCAAAAAGATAGCACTGTTTCTTGAGAGTTTTATATTTATAATACCGTTTGGTCAGCCAATATATAAGCATAGGTGGTTGGATTTAGACAGGCCTTGGTAACAGAATGACACAACCATAATACATATATTGATTACTGTCCAGGGATACTGGTGGTTCATTACTGTTTTACTGATTTTGGTGGTTTTATGGATTGTGACGTGTGTGTTTTTATTTTTTATCATATTTCTTTTGTTTTATGTGGCCCCAATAGGGAAGGGGGGGGGGGTGTGGGCCCCTGAAACACGTTGGCTGTTTTTTATGATCAAGTTGTGAATTGTTAAAATTCTCCTGAGGATCTTTACCTTATGGTCTGACACCCATTTGTGTTTGTTTCTTTTTTTAAGGAATCTCATTGACCTCACTGTGAACAGACACTGACAGGTCTGGTGTGCTGTTGCTTCTTATTCAAGATATACAAATTAAACAAACAGAAAACCGCTCACTCACGCTCCTTCCACTCCAGCACTGGATGCTCAATCCGTGGTTCTCCACTAGTGGACACAATGTAAACAACATATTGTACAATATACTGTACGAATCTATTTCTAGAAATAGTGTCCTGAGAATAATCCAATCTGGTAAATATAAATTTGGAGTGCCTGAATCCCACATAAAACAAATGATTTATGATGTATAAAATATAGCTGGAGCTTTTAATTTTTTTCTAAAGGGCTGCTCTAAAATTTGCTCAGAGATATTTGACAAACATGACAGCTTACCTTGGAGAGCAGAGGAAGAGAATGTTGTCAGCTTCAGGCAAGTAGATCATTTGTCCTTTCAGCCGAAGACAACTAATTTCATTGACAGTCAGTTCATCTTCTGTCTCTGACTTTTCCACATCAAGTAAACCTTCCTTGAATAAAATATTATGATATGAGTTATGTTAGAATACATAGTCACTTTTCTGCATGTTTCAATTTATTGTAGGACATTCCAGGTTATGGAGAGTATACTGGCAACCTATCTTAGGGAATGTACTAGCAAATCAATCTACAGAGAATGTACCAGAAACCTAACCTAAGAAGAATGTATCGCAACCTTGCAAAACCCTTACCGCTAACAGTACACATATATGCGGCCTCACAGAAGTCGGCCTTTATTTTTGGGGCTGAATATATGCGTATCTGTCTTTGTACTGGGAGCGTGCCGCACAGCACATTCTCAGAACAGAGATCGGGCTCTCACCTGGAGTCCCATACTTAATTATCGGGACCTGGAACTCCTGGTTCTGGGTTACCTGATCGCTGTGATAGCCTGATTGGCCATCACAGTGATCAGTCATTGTACAGCGCACCTTTGTGTTTTCTTTCCCTCTGAATAGAGGGAGAGATACATTGTACCTCTCTCTCCTTGCAGGGAGAAAGAAGTAAAGTTGGTGGTAGGTTATGGCAGTAGCAAGAACTATATAACTAAATTAAAAAAATATTTTTTTGTTTACTACTTTGGGCCCAACTTTCTTTGATAATAAAAAAAAAGGTGATATCAGTTACCATTTACTACCAAAAGAAAGTCAAATTTGTCCTGAACAAAAATAGAGTATAATCCACCTGGATGCAAAAATTAGTTGCAATGATATGTACGGTTTTACTAACACATGTCAAAGTTGGAAATTTGTGTTCAGGTATTAACATTTGTTTAACCTTTAGTCACTAAGTGGTTAAGCACACTGTTCCCGGGGCCTTGCCTAAAAAGAATGTACCTGCAAACTAACCTAAGGAGAAATTACCACAATTTAACCTAAGGAAAATGCACTGGAAAACTAAACTAAGGAGAATTTAATGGTAACCTAAACTAAGGAAAATGTACTTGCATCCTAACTTGACAAAAATGTACCAGATATCTAAACTAAGGAAAATGTACCAGTAACCTAATCAAAATAGAATTTTTTACTTGCCAAGGAGATGAACTAGTAACCTAACACATATATGTATTTTTATATATATATATATATATATATATATATATATATATATATATATATATATCGGTAATCTAATCTAAAACTGGTCATAGACGAATCGAATCTCAGCCAGTTCAGCAGTAACCGGCCAAGATTCGAACCATGTATGGGCTGGCTCAATGTACTAGGCTGTTTTAGCTGCAAACAATAACCACTGTGTTCTCCCAGCGGGGACAGCTCCCCCCCCCCCCCGCCGGAAGGACACAATGGCTCCACGGGAGGGATTCCCCTGTCAACACTGTATATGTTGATGGGGAAATCGAGCAATTGCAGGAAATAAATTCGCTCCCATGGCCTTCCTAAAGAAGATTCACGGAAAGCAGATAGTACTGGCAACTTAATTTAAGAAGGATGTTCTGGAAAGCATCCTAAGGAGAATGTACCAGTAACCCAATTTAAGGAGACTGTACCAGTAACCTAACCTAAGAGAAATTAATATACTGGCAACCTAACTTATGGAGGATGTACCAGAAAGCTAACTTAAGGAGAATGTACTGCTAACTTAAAGAGATTATACCTGGTAGTAACCAAACCTGCTTAGAATTTCCTACAACCTAAGCTAACAAAATAGTACTAGAAACCTAATCTATGAAAGATATCACCAATATCCTTGTTGTTGATTAGTTAATTACAAAAATACAATAATAGTAGTAGTAGGTACTACACTACCCACTGTTGCATTTTACTTTACTTTACAATAAGGGCAAAACTTTTTTAACATATTGGATAGAGAGAAGAGAGATCAGAACCCTTGTCAGGTTTTATTGTTGTCTGTGACCGTTAGGGAGATTTACCCTATTTGTCCTGTTTACTGTTATCATCAAAAGTGAAAGTAAAAAGAAAATCCCAAATTTTATGTTGACATCAGAACAGGAATAGAAGGGAAATGTTCCAACAATGAGGACACTAGTTCTTGTAACTCTGATGACACCCTGGAATTCCCTCACTTAGGAGGAATTTCCTCTCTCTTCCTGTTTTGGCTGACAGTAAGTGAAAGGAAATTTCCCCAATGGGACACAGATGGAAAAAACTGGCAGGGGTTATAACCCACCCTTACCCTATCCAAAAGGAAAAAAAAGGTTTTGCACTTTATTATACAATACATTTAGATTCAGCATTCAGATGTGTAGACCTAGGAACTCAAACTCAAAGATCTATCCAATAGGGATCTCAAGAGACAGCAGAAACTGGTGGCTTTACTTTCTAAAATTCTGCCTTTCAGTCCTTAACAAAAATGAAATATTATTTTGGGTAACCTGACCCTTTAAAATAAATACAGCTAACCTTAGTTTAACTCCAGTGTCTTTCCAAATTTAGGCCTATTGTCCCTATTCTTTCTCTCCATTTATTTATAGGTACAACAAGCTTTGTGTTTTCTGGAACCCTGCCCACATTTCTTCAATAACTTCAATGTTACTGTATTCCAAACTTTACTATGAGCCTATGCTATTAAAAAAAAGAATAACAAAAAAGGTGAGATAAGTAGAAGTGGAAAAGTGGAAAATTACATTGACATTAGAAGTATAACCATTCTATAGACTGACGAACTGTTTTTCTATGGATAAAAAGACCAATGTAACAGTAGTAATCTAAGCTATTCAAATGAGTAAAATTATTTTACATCCTTTTCCTTAATATTAAAGGAAAGCCAGCAATGAATTGCATGGCCATCACAATAAAAGGAAGGGACACTTCATTAGCCTGGCTTGGCACTATGCAAAGTATAAACATTCCACTTTAGTCTTTACTTGGCATAATGAGTTGCTATGATCCTATGTATTACAAATAAAATCTCACTGTATATTTTAAAATTGTATTTTCCTTTTTTTTTTTCTCCTGAGACATGAACCATGGATAAACATAGCCTTAAAAGGAAATATACTGAAAATATAGTGGAACTGGATTCAAGCTGGCTGTGTGTTAGAATTATGTATATGCAGACCTTAATGGAACTTGTGTAAGTATGAGAAAACATAGAAGATTCAAGCAGATTTGGTAATATATTGACAGTAATATCTGTGCAATGTCATTTAGGTTTATTTCAATAAGGCAAACATTATTATACATAATAAGTGTAGTAACCCAGAGCACCCAAATCAACAAGAATCTGTCTGACTGCTTTAAAATGCTGAAAAAGGGAAATCTAGTTGGTTATTATGAGGTACATAATATCATCATTACTTTTTGCATCACTTTAGTTTAGAATCTGGATGCTCAGTGTGATTTTGTTTTTTGGATGCTATGGAGTTACGGTGCTTAGCACACATTTATGAATCTGATTGCTCCTTTATTAATTAGGCAGTTGTTTGAATATTGTAGACATTTTAATTGTCTTATTATACTATATAGAAACTGGTCTGCATAATGTAGTAGAAGTGTATTGTGTATAAAAAAGTATTATCTTCGGAAACCTCATTTTTGATAGAACTCAAAAACAGCATCATTGTAAGACACTCTAGTTCTCCAAATGTCATTAAGGAAATACCACTCCAAGAAATCAGAAACCTCTTTTTAGTTTTATGTCAAATCACCTTTGGCCTTAATATCATTGTATTTCCCCCTGTGAGGGTTCTGTAGCTTCCCACTTTTTGTATGTGAAGGCAAAACTTTTTTCTAAGTTTTGCAAAGTGTAGGGAAGAATTGTAATGCTTATAATAAAGCATAAAATATGACCACCTGCCTGGATGTGGTATACATATTACACTTGTTGAGTGAAGCCTGTCAAACATTGAATGACTTTGAATGGCTTTACCCAGAAGCTAATGCTTCTTTGCATTCACATTGACCCAAATATTCATACTATTCATATTTCCAGAATGTGAAACTTCCATGTTCAGGAAATACACCAGGCACGCATGCACAGGTAATTGCCAATGCAAAGAAGGATTGACAGGTACAAGAGTATGGACCCGGAAGGATCTATGTGACACATGATGCTCCCCAGGCACAGAAAAGCACCTGGAGATGTATGCTAGGCATAACAAATGCCCTAAAAAGTCAGTGTGCCTCAACCTTCAATGTTTTTTTCAGTTGCCACTGATTATACCGCAAACCAATATTCTAATTATTAACAGATCTAAATTTTATTTCTAGCCACAAACTAAAATTTCAAGAACCTTAACATACTTATGCATACTAGATAAAGTATATCAAATCATTGATCAATTTGCTGGTTATAAATGTAGAAAAGGTAGAATAATTACAGTCCATATGAAACCAGTCACTATTGTTAACTGTGTAATTTCTCAGGCAGATGGTATCCTGGGAAGCACTCCAGCAAAAGTGTTGAGTTTTGCAGTATCAGGTATTTAAAGTTCGTAATACTTATTTCCTCTCCAAAAGTCTGACATACAAGAGTTGCTTAGAGAAGAACTACACCTGCTGATTTTACTATTTCCGAAACAATTACATTCAAGGCATGCCCCTGGTGATGATTGTCAAGGTTGCCAGTGTGCTTATGTCAGCTCTCAACTGAACTTTCAAGTCCTCAAATGGCTGGTGTCATAACTGATGACATGTGCAGCACCTTGGCAACTACATTATGCTTTGTTCTTATTAATAGTTTAATCAGTAATATAAGTAAGATGGGCTAAGATCAATAAACTAGGATAATAATATATTAGAGAGTCCCCATTACTTGATTCCACAATATGTACGTACAGTATTTTGCTATCACAATTGTAACCCAAATGACAAACTGTTTTTCAAGTTTGTATCAGAACAAAAAGGATCCACAATAAGTCATTTAAAAGTAGCTATGTATATAGCAAATATCATAGCAAATATCTGTCTGTCACAAAATGCCAAAAATATAGCCCTAAAACAATTGAGGCGTTGTGTAAAATCTACATAAAAACAGAGTGCAATAATTTGCAAATCTACATAAAAACAGAGTGCAATCATTTGCAAATCTCATAAACCCATATTTTATTCACAATAGAAAATAGAAAACATATCAAATGTTTAAACTGAGAAAATGTACCATTTTAGGGAAAAAATAAGGTATTTTTGAAAATGATGGCAACATGTAAAAAAGTTAGGACAGGGCAAAAAAAAAAAACTGGCAAAGTACAACCCCAATTCCCAAAAAAGGTGGGACAGGGCAATGTTTACCATAGTGTAGCATTCCCTCTTCTTTTAACAACTCTCTGTAAATGTGTGGGAGTTGGGGAGACCAATTGTTGGAGTTTTCTTGAAATGGTACATTTTCTCAGTTGTGATATGTTTTTCCCAGTACATTTGCTATGTTTTCTTTTTCTATTGTAAATAAAATATGGGTTTATGAAATTTGCAAATCATTGCATTCTGTTTTTATGTAGATTTTATAAAGTGTCCCAACCTTTTTTGGAATTTGGAGTTGTAAAATTTGCATTGATAAACCTGTGACTGTAAATCATTGCTGCTATATATTCAAGGGCATATGATGAAGAGTCAACTGTATGCCACCTTTCAATGCCAGAAATCTCTTATGTTGCAAAATCTCGTGAAGCCATTATTCACGGGGGTTCTATATAATACACAACTTCAAAAAATTGGGAATCAAGGCTCAGCTAAAACCTTCTCAGTCATCCAGTATATTGTAGGCAATTTTAGTTGATTTAGTTGATTTAGTACTCAGGAATAGCACATGTATGTTGCAGGCTGCCAACAGTTTGAATAGGACAGTGCACCAGTCAATAGCAACACAAAACCACTGTGGATAGGGAATGCACATGTCTAACACAGGATGCTAGCACATGCAAACAACTATATGATACAAATTGCAATCTTAGTATAAAAAATGTTGACTAATATGAGTTCCATATGATACACAACTCCAACAATTAGGAAAAAGCAAAGCTGAAACCTTCCAAGTCATCTAGGTAGTACATTTGAATACTTAGTTTGTAAATCAGATATATATCCTTAGTCTTTTGTAGGCTGCTAGTAGTTGAATGGAATAATGCAGTAGACAATAGCAACTCAAGACACATATGGGGATAAGGAATGCAGACGTCTAGTGTAGTGAGGATGACCAAGTAATAGTAGTTGCAATCTGAGTATAAGATACCATTGAATAACCTGCAGATAGGAATACAGCTTCAGCAATGCTATATGATATGTGTCCAAAAGCAACTAGAAAAGCAAATCAATACTGCCTATATATAGTCTGATACAGATTTCTTGATCCATGTGATTCAATAAGGAAAATACCATCCAGTGTTGGAGCGATCACTGTCCTATACAGCATGGTCAGCAGGCCATGCATGAGTCCTCACAATATCCCTGACATATTTCATTGAACCTTTTATACCACATATTTACGGCATCATTGGATGGTACTCTGTCTCTTTAAACCTCATTTGAAAAGGAAATTCCACTCTTTACAAATAGAAATCCCTTTATCAGTAAGGTGCTGGACTACCTTTCACCCCTATGTTTGTCCTGGCAACCACTGTCACTGAGAAAGAAGGTGATAGAGAAAAAAAAGAAAATTGTCACCAGCGTCAATGGGTAAATTACCCAATGGGTACAAATGTTCTGGCCACAACAATCTTAGATTAGATTTTCTCTCCTTTTTGTCAAAGGGTAAATTACCCAATGGGTACAAATGTTCTGGCCACAACAATCTTAGATTACATTTTCTCCCCTTTTTGTCAAAGGGTAAATTACCCAATGGGTACAAATGCTCTGGCTACAACAATCTTAGATTACATTTTCTCCCCTTTTTGTCAAAGGGTAAATTACCCAATGGGTACAAATGTTCTGGCCACAACAATCTTAGATGACATTTTCTCCCCTTTTTGTCAAAGGGTAAATTACCCAATGGGTACAAATGCTCTGGCCACAACAATCTTAGATTAGATTTTCTCTCCTTTTTGTCAAAGGGTAAATTACCCAATGGGTACAAACGTTCTGGCCACACAACAATCTTTCACTAGATTTTCTCCCCTTTCTGTCAAATCTTCCCAGTGGGACACAGCAAAAAAAAAAACAACAAAACAAAAAAAAAAAACTAATATGGGTTTAAAACCTTCCCCAAAATTTTAAAGATCACCACACAGAACTCAAGGCACTGTATGACTGGTCAAGGTTGATAGAAGGGTGTTTAGATGCTGTGTTTGAGGTTAAACCAAGCTGTTACTCAACATGAGTCTACCATCATGGTGCTACATTAGGAACTAGGATTCATTAAATCAGACCTTTTTTCATTCATCATAGACCATCCAGTGCTACTATCCTTAGCTCACTGCAAATGTTTTCAGTGGTTATCCTTGGACAGAAGAGGTACCCTACAGTGTCTGCTGATACACCCCATAAATTAAAAAAAAACAATGCATTTGTGCATTCTGATAATGGTCACTGCATTTGTATTAGTAATGTTAAGTGTATTCTATGGACTGCTGATTTGCCCCAAATGGAAGAATCTATCTGATGTCTCTCACATTTATCCATCAGGGCAATCTCCCATTCCATAAATATTACACCTTTGATATTGCTGGCTTGAAAAACTTAAATCTGCATTACTGACATTCAATCCTACTCTCATAACTTGATTATTCCTTTTTTAAAATCTGTTGGGACATTCAATAACTAACTTTTTTCTGCTGTTCCACATATGCCAATGGCAAGGTACTTCAAAGAGCTTTCCTGGACACAAACATACACTAACCAGTGCTGTATTTGCCAGTAGGTACTGTATACATAACTGTGTATATGACTTAAAGCAGTGAATATATATTTTTTTAACTATGACTTTCCTAATGCTAGCTAGGTAAACAAATGCCAATGTGCAAAATGTAAGAACCCAGTGTAAGCAAAAAATAGTGATTTGGCTATGATATGCATACAGTTGCAAGAAAAAGTATGTGAACCCCTTGGGATTACGTGGAGTTTTGCATGAATTGGGCATAAAATGTGCTCTGAACATCATCTAAGTCACAACAATAGAAGAACACAGTCTGCTGAACATAATACTACACAAACATTAGATGTTGCCATGGTTTAATTGCACATAACATGTAAACATTCACAGCGCAGGGAGGAAAAAGTATGTGAACCTTTGGACTTAATAACTGGTTGACCCTCCTTTGGCAGCAATAACCTCAACCAAACGTTTCCTGTAGTTGCAGATTAGACCTGCACAACGATCTGGAGTCATTTTGGACCACTCCTCTTCACAAAACTGTTTCAGTGTAGCAATATTCTTGGGATGTCTGGTGTGAATCGCTCTCTTAAGGTCATGCCACAGCATTTCAATCGGGTTGAGGTCAGGACTCTGACTGGGCCACTCCAGAAGGCGTATTCTGTGCTGTTGCAGCCATTGTTTTGTTGAATTACTTGTATGCTTTGGGTCATTGTCCTGTTGCATCATCCATCCTCTGCGGAGCTTCAGTTGGCGGACAGATGGTCGTACGTTTTCCTGCAAATGTCTTGATAAACTCTGGAATTCATTTTCCCATCAATGACAACAATCCGTCCAGGCCCTGAGGCAGCAAAGCAGCCCCAAACCATGATGCTCCCTCCGCCATGTTTTACAGTGGGGATGAGGTTTTGATGTTGGTGTGCTGGGCCTTTTTTTCTCCACACATAGTGTTGTGTGTTCTTCCCAAACAACTCAATCTTGGTTTCATCTGTCCACAGTATATTTTGCCAGTAGTGCTGTGGAACATCCAGGTGCTTTTTTGCAAACTTCAAACGTGCTGCAATATTCTTTTTGGACAGCAATGGCTTCCTCCGTGGTGTCCTCCCATGTACTCCATTCTTGTTTCATGTTTTCCTTATTGTAGATGTGTCAACAAAAATGTTAGCATGTGCCAGAGATTTCTGTAGGTCTTTAGCTGACACTCTGGGATTCTTCTTTACCTCATGCAGCATTCTGCGCTGTGCTCTTGCAGTCATTTTTACAGGACGACCACGTCTAGGGAGAGTAGCAACAGTGCTAAACTTTCTCCATTTGTAGACAGTCTGTCTTACCGTGGACACATGAACATCAAGGCTTTTGGAGATACTTTTGTAACCCTTTCCAGCTTCTTGCAAGTCAACAATTCTTGATCGTAGGTCTTCTGAGAGCTCTTTTCTGCGAGGCATGGTTCACATCAGACAGTGCTTCTTGAAACCGGTAAACCCAAAACAGGTGTGTGTTTTTTAAGGGCAGGACAGCTGTCAGCAACACATCCAATATCATCACACTGATTGGAGTCAAGGTTGGCTCACTCCTGGCTCCAATTAGCTCTGGGAGAAGTCATTAAGCTAGGGCTTCACATACTTTTTCCTCCCTGCACTGTGAATGTTTACATGTTATGTGCAATTAAACCATGGCAACATCTAATGTTTGTGTAGTATTATGTTCAGCAGACTGTGTTCTTCTATTGTTGTGACTTAGATGACGTTCAGAGCACATTTTATGACCAATTCATGCAAAACTCCACGTAATCCCAAGGGGTTCACATACTTTTTCTTGCAACTGTATATTTCACTGGCTACTATAAGTTGATGCACTTTACACAATATAACCCCTTTCATTTAATAAAATGTTTGTTTCACATGTGCTGAATACCAGTTGGTCCGGAATATATAAGGGGTAAGAAACAAATGTTCAAATCTTTAATCTGAAGATGTCAGATGATATGGCTTCTTCTTTATGGTTGTTTCTTCTCAAAAGAGTGAAAACAGGAATACAAACATATTGTCAGGTTGTCAGTAGCTTTGAAGTGTTCAACAAAAGACATTTAACATCTGCTACAATCTTGCTGTCTTAAATGCCACATCTCCCTGTGCTCTTTTCACATTTGTGTTCTTTATCTATTGAATGCTTATCTCTACAGCATATCAGTCCATAGGTTTATTAAAAATCAATTACCTTACTCCGCAGGACGAATACAGTGTTGATGTGAGACAGGATACCATGAAAGCTAATGTCAATATGTGGTCGTACCAAAGTGAACACAGACAGCAGGTTACAATTTCCAGGCTGCAGCTGTAAAATTATGGAATGCGCAAGAAGAAATCAGATTAAATTGGTATAGTAGTATAGTATTTCTATTTATGGTTTCCTAAAAAAAAAAAACTTGTGTTCTTAAAATATACCGTTACAAGAGGTCACTGTTTTCAGAATTGGAATTATTTTAAGTATGTCTCTTATAATCACTGAATATCTTCACTTTCCTGATGCTATACTAATTAACAATAATAATAATACGATTTGCATCTGGATTCTTACTACCATGTATCCTTAATAATTGTATGGGCTGCTACTTACAAAGATTCCACAGAAACTTTAACAAAATCCTCCATTTCATGGGAGGATTGGGCTAGGTGGAGTCCTGGCCAGTACTAGCAAGAGAAGTTGGACTCTAACTTGAGAAACATCTCTAGACTTCAATCAGAGCTGTCAGTGAAACATGTTGTGCATTTTATAATTTCACTATGCTGCTGACCAATCATTGAGGTACCTTGGCACATTTTGTACAGTACACCTTCTTTAGCCCACAAAAATATGTCCCTCCCATGATACCATGAAAGGCTAATTGGTTGTGTTTGGTCCAGACCAAATGTTTCCAATTTTCCTCTGGTCCTTATTCAATAGGTCAAAAGGATTTACATATAACAGACCATCAGATGTACTGGCTACAGAAAGGTAGAATTTTATGCTATGGGTTACTGGCCTTTGCACAACACCACTAATTGCTTCACTGACTTATTAAAAAAAGCTCTGATTTTCCTGATAAGGCAAAGATCCTGCATCTCCTTCATTGTGATGTGTTGATTCTTCAGTTGTGTCCTTCAGAAGATTAATGTTTGGTGTTATAATGGAAATGAATGATGTTATAATAGAAATTGTATAACATGCTGGAAATGTATGTTGTTCAAATATTAAATAATATCTGTGCCTTTATTAGGAGGAAGATAATTTTACTTACACAACAATATATGGACTGCAAACTTTAGATATAATAATGAGAAGACTATTGGAAAAATTGAAAGACATTTAGCCCATAGTTTATTGTTGTCCTTTTTGGCCAAACAGCGCACTGGGTGTATGCATGGTCACTTACGTGAACATACTTGTCTTTGTGACTACCTGGTAAAGGCAGATCATATTATTTCCTTATGTGCTTATTTACTGAAAATTAATATTTCCGCAGGCATAAAATAGTTACCTGTGGCAAGACTCTGTAGATGGCATTCCCACACTGTGTAACAACAAGGTCTCTGTCAAACATTATATGAAATGGAAAAGCCTTGCAGAACGTGTAGGGGCTAATGCGTGATTCTTGGGTCCCATTTTCTTCAAACCTGTCCAGATCCTCATAGAAGTCTTCCTCCTTAGAATCCTTCTCTTCTATCAAGAATTGTGTGTGGTCATATTCCTCATTTCTTTGCTGAACAACCTTATCAAAATTAATAAATTACTGTTATATTTTACCCTTAAAAAGAGAAATATTGTATCTAGTTAATACTCACTATTTTATATTGAGGCTGACTTGCTAAATGTAGTTGAGAATGTTTAAACAAAAAATAATATTATCCAATCATGTGCACATGAAATAAATAAGCAATAATTGCCTTATTAGATGATGGATAATTGAAGCGAACATTCTAAAGTCCTTTAGTAAATCAGCATTACTCTATATGCAGATAGGATATAACATGTTACATAAGAAAATTTAGAAATTCCTGTCTGTCTATCAGTCAGCAATATTTTTATTATTTGAGTTAAAGAAAATAAATTAATAAATAAAGAATAGGGGTACTTTGAATCAAAGCCACCAATCAGGATCCAATATTTATTTTACTAGAGCCTGAAAGCTAACATTAGTTGTATAGCAGATTATAAGAGATATCTTTAAAAGTTGAGACCTAAATTGGAGTAATATGAAGAGGCCTATAGCTGTTTGCTGGGAGAAGGTTTGTATTCCCTAATTTCCCTGAATATGTGAGGGCTGGCTTACCTGACTCATGTAAATATCTACAAATCGGAAACATAGATCAGCACAGCATAAGGGTCCTAAGTTAAAGCGGAACTATACTCATCTTAGATAGAACGATGCGGCGTTCCGGAGCTCCTCACCGGGCCACTGACATCTTCGGGCGGCCGACTTCCGGGTCTCAATCACTCACTTTGCTTGGCTGGGCAGGGATGACATCACTCCTGCGCATGTATGGGACTTCAGTCAGATTTGGCATTGCCGAATTTGTACAGTGACCTGCGCTTACACGGCTCACTGTGCAGGGGTGGACATGCAGGTAGGTAACTTTAATGCAAAACAGACAAACCATGGCTCTGCTGCATTAAACTTCCTGCCTGTTTACCCTGTTTGAATTTTTACCTAAAGTTTCTCTATAAGTGGCAAATATTAAAATAGAAAGATTCATAGCAAATTGAAAATCAGTTTATTCTTTTCTATTGACAAATAATGTGGTACAATAAAAACCGAGACTGGGACCAAAGATGATTCTATGTTACATATGCAGTGGGGTTTAGTTACTACTCAGGGACCATATTACATTTATAATGGAAGTGTTACTAGTGACCATACAAGACTACCAATCATTAGCACAAACACACTTATTTTTCTTATTTAAAGGGTAACTCCACCTTTGTTGAGGAAAAAACACTCCCCTCTGGGTAATCTATGTATATCACAAGAATTTTTACAAACAGTGTTGAAGAGTCCTACCATTTTCTGCTATGAGGAAATAGCTGTTTGTTTCACTATGATGTTTCCAGAGAGATTCCTGAATGGGAGGATCTGGTTCATTATAACCACCTGATGCACTTTCAGTGTTAAATGAGAAAAGCTGTAGTGTCAGCATTCCTTTAGAAGTAATCAACCATTGCTTTACAGAAGATAGCTAGGAAAAATTCAATTTTTAGTGCACCTCACAGGAAGTTACAAGGACATGGCATTTCTGGCAAGATCAACAGGTATTGTCTGTATTTGCTGAAAATGTTCTTAGCTTGAAAAAAGAACTGTAAACTGAAATATATTGCACTATTGTTCTTGGGTTTAGTTCTCCTTAAAGCTTTCTCTTTAGGTGATTAGACTCATGAGAAGAATCAACTAACGAGAAATGATGCTAGAGAATGAACTAACAAGAAATGACACAATAGCTTCAAGCACTTACCTTCATATCTATTTCAGTTCCATGGATCTGCTGTGCCACTGTTTTAATAATGCCAATAACAATATCCTGCAGTCCTTCTCTTTCTGAATAGTAATGCAAAATAAGGCCTTTTCCTTTCTCTGCATCGGTGCACCTAAATGATGGAGCACGCATACCTGGATAAATGGTACCTAAATGATCATGCAGAGCATCTAAGTTCTGTGAACAGAAAAGTGAACATTAGTAAGTCTTTTTATTCAACAAATACCCAACCTAAAGGGATTTTCTAATGAAACTAGAGATCCTATCTTTGAACCCACTAAGTAGTAACTAAATGGAGAACTCTTCCTACAGCTTCCAATTTCTACCTCCAGATGACATTTGGTATTGTATTTATCTCCATCATTCAATGGAGAGTACACACTGTCAAACATTGCAAACAATGGGCTTTTTTGTTTATAATGGGGTTGTAGGAGACAAAATTGTATTTGTTACTGCAGAAAGTGGTACTAGGGAACACCCGAATTGGATATTTACTTTTTTATTCTTAATCCTTACATAAAAATTATAATCATAAAATGAAGAACACTAACACATATTTCTGTATACTGTATGTATATCCTTTGGAAGGAATCAAAATATTTTTTTTTTTGCCATGATGTGTCTTCATCAAGCACAATAAAAAAAACAGGGAGGGGTCCTAAGGAATATTGATATTGGGGACTGGCTTTATTATTTTCACTTAAATATCAATATAAAGTGAAAAACACAAACACTTACTGCTGTATATGTACATATATCCTTTAGAAGGAATAAAAATGTGTGCTTGTATCATTATGAATCTTCATCAAGTACAATAAAAACAGGAAGGGATACTAGGGGAGATACTGGTGATTTACAATGTTATTACCATTATTACTTAAATACAAATAATCATCCTAAAATGAAAAACACTACATTTACTGCTGTATATGTTTATCCAAATGAAATCAAAATATGCGTTATAATATACTACAGAAGACCAATATTGGGGATTTTAGTATTTGTCTTACTATTACTTAAACACAAATAATCATCATAAAATGAAGAAAACTAACATTCACTGCCGTCAATGTTTATCATTTAGAAGGAATCAAAATATGCTATTTGTGTCATAATGTGTCTTCAACAAGCACAATAAAAAATATACAGTAAACTATGGAATTGTATAAAAAAAAATGGAATTTTAGATAACTTTAATTTTATAGTAGTGTGGCTTAAAGCATATTAAAATTTATATAGTTTTGATTTCCTACACTTGCTGATGTTTTCAGAGCAGGTTTGGGATGATGTAAGATATTACATAAAGTCAAATGCAATAAAGTATTCAAATTATTTTCCTATCTAATAACTTGCATAGCACTGTCTGTTGGAGGGTGTAAACACCTGAAGACATCAGCATGACGAAACATCGTGTCAGGGCAGGCCGCACAGAAAGTGACGTCATCCCCGCTGTCATGTACTGTGGTGAGAGATATATCTGTATGTGAAGCAAGGTGTGCTCTGCAGATGAGTATTAGCAGCTGAGCAGCTGCTATACAAGATTTATGGGGGTTATTTATTTCCTGTAAACTCTTTTTCTTTAAGGCCATTGAGGGGCAAAGGAATATAATAATGCTTAGTCATTTTGGTTATTATACTCCTGCTCAGGAGGTTTGGACACTGGTAATCTGAAAAAAAACGTTAACCCAGGCCCCATATAACCATCATGCAACCATCATGGCTCAATTTTTTGAGCAAACAATAATACAATTCTTGTCAATAACATAGAGGAATAGGACAGGTGTCTTTAAATGGATTTTAATGACAAGTACAAAAATCTTATTTTTTTATTGTCTATTGAGGGACACAGGAATATAGTCATTCTTGGACATCTAAGATGTCCAAAAGCAATCCAAATGAAGGGTGGGTAAAAGCCACTGAGAGATTCAACAGATGTGGAATCTTAGACATAAGAGCATCTAAAGGAAACAATGTCTGAACAAGGGCTAAATAAAAATGAGGAAAGGGAATTTGGAATTGTTATGACCAAGGCAAAGAACCGAGAATCAAAATGTTGTTTCAGAGCAGGACAGTTAGAGCCACTAAAGAGAAACCACTACGTGCAAAAGATGGACCCAACAATATTGTGGAGGACAATTGATCGTTCATTATACAGAAAATAAATAGAACAACAACTCCCTTTCCTTTGTCACAGAAATATTTCTCAACTGGATATATCCCTTTTCCTACTTTTGGGTCTGTTTCTTTGGAGCAGACAGCTCTCCCAGCTCACAAGGGGATCTCTGAGTGAATCAGTCAGTTTTAATTCTGACTTCTGTTGCACTTTAATTGAGTGTGTAATGCCCTAATCGCTAGAAGAAATTGAGCACTTGCCCTGTAACTGACTGGTGTCTGCCTTCCTATGCTGGAAAGTGTCATTAGTGTCTACAGTAATTCCATCTAAGACTTACAGTCTTGCGTTCAGATCCCTGCATCAGATCCCCCACCCTATGACCCTTGATCTCAGGGAAACGTATCCCAACCAAACACCAACCAGGGAACAGTTGGAGTTTGAAGTAGAACAAAACCTTCAATGTGAAATAAAGAAGGGTACCATACAATATCCCTTTCAAGGGAGGGGTGGAGAGATCCACACATCTTTATAAAAGAGAAGGTTAGGTGAACATATATTGTAACACAAAATATAACCACAATACAACCTGCCTGACTAATATATGTATATAATTAGTCTGATAAACGGAAGGAAGATGATTTTTCTTTCCACAAATACAGTATATCCCATAAAAACCCTCATTGTTTAAGGTGGGTAAATCAGATGCAAGGAACTAAAAGCAAGACTGTAAGTCCTAGATGGAATTAGTGTGGACACTGATGATGCCACTAACACCAAGTAGGCAGACACCAGTCAGTTACAGGTGAAGTACTCAAGCCAGAGATGAGGGTTTTGCACACTCTATTAAAGTGCAGAAAAAGCTACAAATAAAAACTAGCTGACCCACGCAGAGATCCACTTATGAGCTGGGAGATATGTCTGTTTTAAAGAAACAGACCCAAAAGTAGGAAAAAGGATGTATCCAGTAAAAAAATATGTCAGTGATGAAGGAGTGGGAAAATGTATATATCACACCCTATCTAGAAAACAGCAAATGGTAAGCAGAATTTGTAAGACCAATAATGTTATTATGCATTGTCCAAATTCAAGATTCTGTAATTCAAGAGGAGAATTACGAAATGCAGATAAACAGCATGAAAAGGGAGAATGCAAATGGAGTTCCCAATCAATCCCACCAATTATAAAAGAGGTAAATGGAATAGTATCTGCTATACTTAGCAGAAAGGAGATAACATTTGGTATAATGAGAACTGCCAGAATCTAGAATACTGAATTTTCTAAGTCATATTTTAGGAATTACACAATAGGGAAGCTAAAAAGAAAAGGAGCACAAGGTGGGCATAATAGCCAGGACTGTAGGAAGAGTCCCAACATCTCAGGAAAGCTAATATAATGGGTTTCACATTTTGGGGAAACGGCATGCTTGAGCTAGGGGAAACAGCAGAAATTGATATTTGTTAACCTTGCAGATTGAAAGGTCCTTCATAAGAGAGACATGCATAGGAGAACATACTGCAATAATCAGATTGGAAAAGAACAGATTGCATATCTGACTTATATGGAACCTGCTCAAATAAAGTCTCATTGGAATCTTGGACTTCAGGCACTCTGGGAAATAAAGGCCCAGTGAGGTCAGAAATATACTAAGCTTTGGAAAGCGCTGGAGCATAATTAGAACTTCTGCCACTAGATTGATTAATTAATTGTGCACAAAATCAGAGGTGGGTACAAGAGACCTGGAAAACACAAAGTACAGGTCTCAGGCTCAAGCTGCATAGCTATAGAAGCTGCAAACGAGAACAGCTATATAAAATGTGCATCCAGGTTAGAAGGATACCAGGGAATCATCTCCAGACGTGGCACTGCTTAATGCTAATCAGCTAGGCCCAAACTGAGGCAAGCATTTGGTACTGATGTGGCTGTGTAATCCATTAAACGCTAAGTAGTAGTAGCAGAAGGAAGGTGCTTCCTCTTAAGCTGAAAGATGGGAAGGGAGTCCACGCACAACATTGCACCTAGTGGATGACTAAGAAATGACTGTTATCTCAGTCAAAAGGGGAAAAATATGTAAAATGGCACCCAATGTCAAAACTGTTAGGTAAGTGCCAGGCTAGCCCAAAAATCTTTGGTCCAGCGTAGTCTGGGAATGGCCTCCAATACTATTACTAGGGATAGGTTGCTCCAGATTGCTGCTGTATAGAAAACAGCTCAAGCAGCTTATTTGACATGTGGATTTAGGTGAAAAGACATCTGTGGACTACCCAACATGTTGAGAAACATATAGCAGAGCTGAGGAAAAAGCATTGACCCTTCTAGGACACTAGCAAAAAAACTAAAGAAAATCATACATGGATCGAAATTTGGCCAGTTCAGCATCGACTGACTTCTGCACAACCCGCTGGTTGAATGGGAAAAAATTACTCATCTATGGGCTGTGGGCTGCTTAAGGAAGCAGATTTATATTGGAGCTAGTTTCATGGTTTTTTCTGTTTACCTGTGGTGAAAACTCCTGAAGGCAGCAGTATAAACAAGAATTACTATATTCCTGTATCCCTCAACAGACAAGAAAAAAATTAATTTTAAAGCTCAATTAGAGGCAGGCACAAATTAATGCAGCTCAGTATTCATTAAAGTGTTACTAAACCCAGGACCCTGCATTCACTATACCTGTTCTCCCACAGTACACAAAACGTGGAAATGCAAGTATTTTAATAAATATAAACTGCTAAATACCTTTTCTCATCAGCAGTATATAGCAGTCTTGTGACTTCTACCAGTGTTCAGCTGAGCACAGGTTAAAGCTTGTAGGAGAAGTTTTCATTCGGCTCTGACTGTCCTATGAGGCTGTATAACCCCTGACCCTCTGTCTGTACAGTGCTGATTGGCACTGTGCTGATCACATGCACTCTCCTAAAGCAAAAAAAAAACTTTCTGGCAATACACACTAAACTGAGCATGTGCAAAGTGACTCCTAGAGCTCTGTATTATCAACAGATGGATTGGGGACTGTGGAAGAAGGGGAAGATCAGGGAAGACAGGATCACACAGCTTTTTTTACACAATGCGGAGGATTAACCTCTTAGGTTACACAGTAAGTATAACAAGCATGCTTTACTGCATATATACAGACTAATTTTACTGTTGTGGGTTTAGTAACACTTTGATAAATTGTTACTTTTTTAAAATTACAAGCAGTTTAAGCATCCGACTCTGATATTGGATCAGTTCCTTACAAAATCCTATACAGTAGTACTCAGACTAGATGAAGGAGGGGCAGGACTGGAAACCTGTCAGGTATAGGGCATGCAAATATGTTGACAAGGAATATGTTGATAAGAGAAGGGAGCAAAGTAGCAGAGAGTTGGGCTCAGTCTGCTTCTCCTCCTTTATTTGACTGGTAATGGGAAGGAAGGAGGTATTAGACCTTAAAGTGTTACTGAACTGCAGCAGAGAAAAAACAGGTCTTCTGCTTTACAGATGGGGCGTTGCTACATGGCAAAACTGTGTAAATCTCAGAACTGAATAGACAAAAATACTTGGACATGTAAAGGGTACTCGTTTATATATTTCATCTGTGTATTTAGCTGCTTGCCTGGAGTTCAGCTATAGCCTTTATGTGAAAGCTGGTTCTTCTTTAAGGAAATTGTGTTCTGCTAAATCTCATTCCATTAAGCGTTCTAACCAAAGTTCTTTAAAAAGACTTACATATCACTCAATTCATTTGCACTTGCTTTTCAGCATAATTGATTTTTTGATGTATACAAGTCTTAAAAGCACACAAGAGACCTCTTAACAGAACTGAGCTTCACTGACTGTCATTTTTTTTTCAGAACTGCTATTGATTTTCATGATGTTTTGGAAATAAGATAGCTTGGCTATTCATTTCCTATCTGTGGCAATATAAATATAGAATTTAAACTCTGCTATAACGGACGCCAATTAGCTTGGAACTTTCCATGAAGTTTCCTGATATTTTTGCTTGCTGGCAATGTTAATGAGTGATTTACAAAACAGGAACTGTTTTCTGACCTGTAAAAATTCTCTGACATTGGATCCAAGGACGCGCAGGATTGTGTCATAGCCAGATTCTTGGCAAAAAACAAAAAACATATTTTCCAAACATTTGGAGAATATCGCCAGCATTGAGATCTGTATAACATTTCAGGGGGAAAAAAAAAATAATTAGCAAACTTACACTCATACAGGACAATGCACATTTCATTAGTGTTCATTAAAGGGATAAACACAATAGACGTATTTTACAATTGCTGTCATGAATAGTGAACCAGGAATAAAAAAACTTATACAGAACAAGAGCAAGTGATATGAAGTGACATGAGGGCAGGGTTAACATTACAAATGACGGAACACTCTACCGGTTGCCATAACAAAGACTACGGCTGTAGCCAGGCACACCGCTCGATTGTTAGTACAATGCTGTAGCCAATGTTATTTAAATTCTAAGCATAAAAGCCATCTCTCGTAAAAAGTCATGTTATTTTATTATTTCGACAAAATAGTAGTAGCCTTTCTTTCAAAATGGCTTTGCTATATGCCATTCCCAGCTGAACATTTTAATTTATATACAAATTAAGATTTTTAATATTGTTTGAAATAAGCTGAGCCTTTATATAGATGAATCTTTAGTAAATGAGGCTCCAAACATTTATATTACTGCATATTTTATGACTGCAGAACTTTTAAGCAACTGTTGATTTGCTTCAACGCTTCATCAATGCAAAAAAGGCACTTTACTGAGAGTCATGAGAACAGACTATGGCAATAGACTCAATATCCAAGTTCAAAGGTTTTTTACCCTAATGCATCCCATGCATAAAGTGATATTAATAGCAATAAAAAAAATAAACATGTCATACTTGTCTGCTCTGTGCAATGGTTTTAGCACAAAGCAGCCTTGATCCTCCTCTTCTCAGGGTCCCCTGCCAGTGCTTCTGGCTCCTCACTCCTGCTAAATGCCCTCAGAGCTAGCAGCTTGCAATGGGGGCAACCAAGCAGGCTGGGTTCCAAGCTGCTGCTCTGCATGTCCATTCACACACAGAGCGGTGGCTTGGCCCCACCCCCTCTCTCTCATAATTGGGTCACTGGCTACAATTGACAGTAGCGGGAGCCAATGGCTCCTGCTGCTGTCTCAGTCAATGAGAAGGGAGAATCTCAGGGAGCCTAGGTTCTCGTGTAAATGGCTAGATTTTTACCTTCAGGTATAGAATGCACGATGGTAAAAAAACCTTGAGACTTTACAACCACTTTAAGGTAAAAAAAAAACTTCTGTATGTAACTCCCCCCCACCCCCTTATACTCACTTGAGCCTGATTTTGATACAACACTGTACCATTGTCTCTTGCTGCTGTCAATCACAGGCAGTAGGGAGAGATCAGGGGCGGGACTGAGCCACATTATGTATGCCAATGGACACAAAGTGCCGGGCTTGGGAGCTGCACTCAAATGGGGGGGGGGCAAGAGCACCAGCAGAAGAGGATGTCAGTGTCTCTCTGTGCAAGACAATCGCACAGAGCAGGAATGTATAACAAGTTTGCTGTTTTTAAAAAACTGCATTTAGCATCACTTTAGGTCTGAAGATAGTGGACCATCCTATGCCTTTAAAAACATAAAAAATTTGCTGTGACATTTCTTCTATGATCTTCTTACTGCTCACATTGCTGTTGTATAACAGAATTTTGCATTGACCAGTCCAACTTCAGTAGGGAATCTTCTTCCCAACTTCAGTAGGGAAAAATTGGATATTATATTTAACTTCCTTCCAGCTGATGCCCATGGGTCTAGTTGAGGTAATAACATGATATTTCTGGGGAGATCCTGGGAGTTCTGAGGATCCCAGATCTTAGGAGAAGATGCAGAAGGCATAGTATATATTTTTTTTACTTTCCTTTACAGTTATCATGCAGCATTTTGCTAAGGTGATGAGGAGCATTATTTAATAAGCAAACGTTGCTTTTAATGCCAGGTCTGCTTTCAGTATGAAGATTCCCCTTAATGGAAAAGCAGAATTAGCTTTTTGCCTCTTTAAAGACACATTTCATCGTTTTTTGGAGAAACAGAAACAAGACTGTCACAAAGATTTAAGTAGAGACCTACCGAATATATCGCTGTCCACACAAGATATACACTCACCCGCCACTTTATTAAGTACACCTTGCTAGTGCCAAGATAATATTCCCCACACCATTACACCACCAGCACCAGCCTGAACCCTTGATACAACACAGGATGGATCCATGCTTTTAGGTTGTTATTTTTGAGTTACTGTTGCCTTTCTATCATCTCAAACCCATTCTGACAATCCAGTCAGCCCATTCTCCTCTGACCTCTTACATCAACAAGGCATTTTTGTCCACACAACTGCCGCTCACTGGATATTCACTCTTTTTTGGAGAATTCTATGTAAACTCTAGAGATGATTGTGGGAGAAATTACCAGTAGATCAGCAGTTTTTGAAATACTCAGACCAGCCCATCTGGCACCAACAACCATGCCATATTCAAAGTCACTTAAATCCTCTTTCTTCCCCATTATGATGCTCAGTTTGAACTTCAGCAACTTGTCTTCACTACGTTTAGATGCCTAAGTTACTGCCATGTGATTGATAACAGATGTACCTAATAAAGTGGTGGGTGAGTGTAAGTCATAATACTGGCAAGAGTTTCTCTCAATGAATAACTATAGCAAGGCCAATGGAAGTCTAGAATTTGTTTCATTCTTTGGGTTTCTGTTTTTTGCGTTGTTTTAACCATTTGTAAGTAAAAACATAAGAATGATCACTCAAGCCAACATAAACAAGAAAGCTGTCCACAACACCGAAGAGCTTACGAATTACAGATTCCCCTATGTAATCTGATTACCAATAAGTAGTCAGTTTTTAGATATAACCCTACGGTAGTTATAGAGTTAGGCAGAAAGCAGGAGTGAAAATGTAGGCTAACCGACTTATTAAATTATTTCCATTTAACCTGGAAGTACAAACCTTACTGGTGGCTTACATTGTCTGCAAAGAGTTTGCTCATCAGTGAAATCATAATCCAAGCAATTATAAACATAACAATATATTTCCATGATGGGGTCACAGAGGGTTGAGAGGATGGGGGAATGTTGAACTTGGCTGGAGAATACTTTCATTTTCCAAGTATTCAGCGGTTTTCTTGGAATATATTTGTCCAGTCTATTAACAAATCATTTGATTTTTTTTTTTCTTTACTCTTTTAAAGTGGATCTCTCATTAACTTTACAAGTGTCCATAAATGCATTTCTGACATGTCATAATATTCAGCAACAGGATTATTTTTTTAAATGTTCCATTTTTATTTATCTTCAAAAAGCCATCCTTGGACTCCAGTGATTTTGTCTAGACTGAGATGTCATCAATGAACTATAGGGAGGAAGAAACATTTACTCAGTCTCCTCTACCCCACTGATCAAATTGCAACACTGCAACTTTGTAGCAAGTCACAAGGTGGGAGGCTATAGTAGGGGACAGATCTGTAAGCTCAACCAAAAACTGCACAGGCCGCAACAATAACATCACTGTGTCCTCTCCAAGCCAGCGTCACATTCCAGAAGAAAAAAGTGATCCTATAAAGTGCCTAAATAAAGATAATACGGACCTTCCAAATAGAAAAGCAGATTAAGACATTGTTTGAGGAATAACAGTAAACTTTAATAGAGCTAATACTGTAAATACTTGTAAGTATTGTAATTTAAAGCGGAACAGAAGTTCTGCTGTAAGAAACAGGAAGCAGACAGGCTTATATTGCAGAAGAACCATGTACTGTCTCTTCTGCAATAAAATTCCCCTACCTGTCTGCTTGCTGTCTTTATCGGTGCTGTAAATTGAGCTGCACATGCACAGCTCAGCTTACAGTGCTGGGCCGGCCTCTAAGTGTTGGGTTGACTAGCTCCTGCGAATGTGCAGGAGTGGCATCAATCTCCATACACCAATGAAAAGGTCCAAAGACTGGCACCCAGAAAAAGATGCTGGCACTGGCTGGAACCCACCCTCGCTGCTACAATTTCATGTCAATCCAGGCTGTAGCTATTTGGAACATCAGAGTGTTCATAGTGTACTTTCAGGATGTGTCCAAAACTATTGGGCACCGGCAAAAAAACAGGAAAATAAACACATCATGCAATAAGATATTTTCCTATTGGATATACTCTTTCCGGATTGTGCTATCAATGATAAGGAAGTAGTGGAAGGGAAGAATACAAACTCAAAATATGGAATGTACTGTCTTGGAATTACAAGAAAATAGATAAAAGTATCAATATATACTGTGTGAACTGGTGGGATAATAGGTGACAGCCTTTGGGTACCCAATGACTGGAACTAGGAATCCTAGAGGATTCTACATTTACAGTATGTTGCTGGTGAAAACAGATGTGAAGTTCTCTCATTCCTGTCTTCTTTTCTGGTCATTCACTGCTTCCTGTAGCAGCAATGGCATGAAAAAAAGCAGGTAGATGGCTCCTTGACTTCTGTAACTATCAATTGTATGCATTACAGCCAATATCTGAGAAGGTATGAAGCCTAGAAAGCTGCTCAGTGAGCCAATATTCTAAGCTTGTTTTAGGGTCAGGGTGTTTGAAATGATGAGGACAGGCTGGCCAAAAACACTTCAAGAGTCTAACAATATTTTAAATATTAGATCATAGCCAGGGTGGACATTAAACTCTGGAAGCTATATGCAAATATGCTTTAACCCCCGTCCTTTCGAAGTGATTGATTAGAGCAGAATGTGGCATAGAGGCCACCCCATGTGCATTGTCTGGAATAGGATGGCCAATGATATCATATAGCAACTGCCTTTTGTTATGTGACTGGCAGGTGAACAGCTTTGACCAATTCCATTCATTCCCATGGATTATTGCAGGAGCATGTAGGTTTTGGCAGGGGCTCCCAAACATCTACCAGGCCCTGCCTAGGTCCCTTGTAGATGGTCCAACTTTTCCTCTTGAAAAAACACTAACCTCACATTCCTATTTTATCCCTCTACTCATTGAGCTTATACAATTAATGATGATGGACTTCTCCTTGACTTTAGAGATATGGCAAAACCCTAACAGACGCACTAAGCTTACCCACCAATACAAAATGTAAAGTTTTGTCTGGAGTTGGGCTCCATATATATTTTAAGTATCTAAAATAAATCAGATATTAGTCATGTTTGGTATAAAATGGATCATATATAAAAATCTGTATATACATTCAAGTAATACCGGTCATACATATAAACAGTATACAGGGTAGTTTTGACATGTTTGACCCAAAAGCTAATATGTACAGTATGTTTTGCATGGCTGCTGGAAAGCCAAACTGCATACTGGGTTATCATATCTCTTATGAACTCTTCCCAGAATCCTCAGTTCCATCCAGAGTACTGTTGTTAGCCATGGCTACCTACAGTACAATGAGATGCACAACATTCAACCACAGGTGGCACTGCAAGACTGATGCCAATGTCAGATCCCCTACTGTGAACACTTCCTTGACAGAAACAAAATAAATATATAAATGACATGTTTAGAAGCGGTCAAGTTTATTAATGGCATAGAATATTATTAGCCTTAAAAAAGTTGTTTTAAATGACATTCTCTTCCTTTCAAACTTCCTGAAACAGTTATCACAACTTTACAGGAGTATATATTTTACTTACTGAGCACTTTGCTTGCTGCTGATACAAGGTCATAGGTTTTAGAGTCATCATATATTATCCTCACCAAAAATTGACCTTCTTCATCGAGCTGTGCTTCTTTTCTAACAATGGCAATGAAATTTGTTAGGAAACGTTCGTACAAAACCCTCACGTTAAATAGCTTAATTATTACATTACTGTTTTCTTGTGGTTTCGGGATAAATCTGGTTAAGGTGGACTAACTCAAGCATGCAGAATATCTCAGTTTATACATTTCTGTAAAAAGACTTTGAAAATAGTATAACAATGTGATCTCTGATATAAATATACAGACATACTATATTTTTGTTGAGTTTTGACACATTGTGGTTTATTTACTAAAGTAATTGTTAATTGTTAAACTCCCTTGCTTGATGAATGTGGCAAACAATCACTTTACCAAAGGATACCCAATTACGTGCAAGAAAAATAAAAAAACAGTATTTTTGCTTACACATGATTGAATAAGTTTGTACAGGTTCCCCACTTTCACTGAGCTCGGGGAAAGTTTCCCTTTCAAAATGCAGATTCTCTTGCAAAGTGAACAGCTCATTTGCCTTTAGTAAATCAATCCCATTGCGCCAATATATTTAAGAACATATATTACCATACAACCTGTATGACTATAAATGCTGTATTGATTATGGAAATAACGTATGATACTGTCCCTGGGCTCAAGGGGACATTGGGTCCACACAAACACATCTACTGTACATTATTTACCAGATATAAAGATACACAGACGGACTTCAGCTAACTTGATTTTACTGCAAAATCAGCTCATTTAGCTACTTAGGTGAAATAAAAGAAACTGTTTTTCCTTTCTTTCTGGGTATTTTTATTTGATGGGGAAGTGTATGTAGAGTGATCTAGTGGTTTAGTTTATTTCATGTAGAGTTGTTTGTATTTTTTTTTTGTTTTAACCTTTTTATTGTGAATTTGATTATAGTTTACTGTTCTCTTAAAATGGTTCTAAACACTAAACGTTACCTTAATGCATTCCCTGCGTAAGGTAAAAGAAACGCTCCACTAACTATTCCCCCCAACCCTAAACAGTTATAAAAATTAAATATTACAGCAGGTAACACCATTTGTTGACAGCAAATCCAATACATGTAAAAGGGAGTATAGTGCTTTACATAAACATTAACATGACAGATATTAAAAGTCCAAAGATAATGTCCACAAAAATGTGTCCAAAACACCTCAGAAGTGCCCTGAAGACATGATGTGATGTAAAGCAGCTCCTCATCAGCAAGCCACCAACAGCAAGCCACCAACATCCACCACACACATCTGACATGATCTGATGAACGTTGGACCCACTGAGCAGCCAAAATGGAAAATAGGCTCCCATAAAAGTATATATCATAAAAGGAAAAAGAGGAACCTCATGGTGTAGCATAAAGGAAATTTATTTAAAACAGTATGCACTCACATAAGATAAAACAAAGCCAGCATAACAAAAATCCTCAAACATCACCAGAAGGATGACCACAATACTTAGGGCTCGTTCACACTTGGCTGTTTTACCAACGCTTGCCAAACGCCCCTATAGTGTTTGGAAAGCGTTGGTCCGGCGTTTGCAGAGCGTTTTTTAACGCTTGGCAAACGCTCCGCAAATGCCGCATGCGCGGTTTAGCGGCGGTTGCCGAGTGTTAAAAACGCCCCACAAACGACTATAATGCAGTTTGAATGGTGTTACCACCCCGCAAACGCCCTGCAAGCGCGTCGCAACCGCACTCCAGGCGTTTGCGGAACGGCACCATAGACTAGAATAGGAGGCTTCAACGCCTCCTGACTCGACCAGAGGCGTCCGTTTTGCCACGACGCAACGTGACGCGACGCAAACGCTCCCGTTAGAACAGCACCATGTGCTGTAATGTGTAGAATTGGCAGAGGCATTTGGGAAGCGGTAAAAACGCTTCCCAAATGCCTCTCTGCCGCCTGCACACAACGCTAGTGTGAACGTAGCCTTAGTGTGATTATGTCATCCATCGGTCCAACCTAAGCATTTTGTCATATGTTGACCTTGTCACTACATTGTCTATCATGTTATTGCTTATTTAAAATGCTACACTCCCTTTTTACAACACTAAACATTTATCTGACACATTTCACCGATCCAGCACCATCCCGAGTACAGCCCCTCTTGCCTCTCTTTCTGGTCTCACAAGAGACACAGAGCGCAGCGAAAGTCTTAAGCACCAGCCAAACTCCTGTGAAGAGGGTGTGTGGGTGTGACTTGCCAGCTCTGTGCGTGTCTATGGACGCACACAACCTGGGTACCTCCTTAGCACACGACTTGCCGAGTGGGCACACTAAAGAAGGAGCAGACAGTGCTGGTGGGGGACCTACAAAGAGGAGGTAAGCAACAATTACTTTACATTTTGTATTTTACTTTTTTTTTTTTTCTGCTTTCTATTTTTTCTGTCTAATTTTGCCTCCCCAATTTGGTGAAATTTTACCAAAACCTTTTGATTTTCACTGTAATTTTAGGGTAATAAAAACTCACAATTTACTTATCCCTAATCATCTACATATTTATTTCTGTACAGAATAAATAATAGTTGCCTGAATGTTATGTTGACATTCTTGGTTAATACTTCGAGTCACTAATGGGGAAGAAGTATTTTTCTCTGGATTTCCTGATCTATATAGTGTATATCAGTAAGTACTGAATCCAGAACACACAGGCATGTAGAATTTTAGAACACAGATAGCAATGGAAGCCTCCCTTATGTTTCCTGACAGGTGTACCTGCAGATTACTAAAGCAGAAGAAACTACAGATATCTATTTGGCCGGAACAAGCTGTAAAAGTTAGTAGCATGAGGTAGAGGATTCATCATGACATTTTGCTGCAGGTCCTTTTAGTTGTGTTGACCGGTTTTCCCATCAGGCTTTATGGCTTCTTGTTACACCTCTGACCTTGAATAACAGTTACTGACCTAGAATTAATTTCATACAGACCACTGCACAAAAATTTACAGACAACTGAAAATTTTCTAGGACACATCACTATAACAAGACTGGACTGCTCACAGCAGTAGTGTGGTGCAGTTGTTGACAGTGCTGATTTATACATAATATGTTATTGTGAGAAATATACTGATTACAGTACATGAAATCCTTGTATGACAAAAACATTGCTGGACAGGACAATATAATACTATATGCAGAGAAGGGCCAAAACAGCTTTTGTGATCTGTTCTCACTGCATTACAAATGTATAAATGTCAAACAAACCAAGAGGCTCTTTTAGGCTCCATGCACACTGGCTTAAAAATATTCTGCTCTTAAAGGAGTTTAGAGTTTTACCTGTAAAAACAAATAATGTTATCCTATGCGTTCATGCACGTTGGGTAGTCTAAAGATGTTAAGAGGCAGAAAAAACCCTGCTGTTTTGCATTTTTGAGAGTGTTTTTCTGGCAAAAAAAAAATGCTAAATGCTCCTAAACACTAGGTTTTTCTTTTCTTTTTTAAAGATATATTTATTGCATTTTTTTTTTTACAACACAGAAAACACACCCCAAAAGGGGTAGACCAAAGACGGGGAGAGAAAAAGAAACTCTCCCCAAACAAACAAATACAGCCTCAGTTTCGCCTTCATACCAGCTATCATACAGTATACAAAGAAGACAGTATAACAAATGTGGTGCTATCAAAACCGTCAAAATGCCACAAATTGGCCAAAGGGGAACATTGAGCAACTAGGATTCTGGATCAACATAGGTAGCCGCATGTGAACTGTCTATCCAGCAGCTCCAAACATTCTCAAAGAGCCTACGGCGTTTGCAGAGCTCATACGTTAGCCTATACAGGGGTAGTTTACTATTAACCATAGCCTTCCAAGCTTCTAAAGACAGGGGAGGCGTACCCTTCCATGACATAGGTATAATTTGTTTTCATAGAAATAGAGTAGCCATAACAGCCTTTTGTCATACTTAGAAATAGATCTCTGAAAATGCCTGAAAGTCAATTCTTGGGGTGCAAAATATTGGGCAGTCCCAAAGCAGAAGAGAGAAAAGTATTGACTTCCAACCAGAAACAGTGCTTTTTTTCTGCCAAAAGCACTGGCATTTTTTTAAGTTAGTGTAGCCTAAAACAACACCTTTCAGAGCATTTAATCGGTGCTTCATTTTTAAAAATTGCTACAAAGAAAAGCATTTAGGGTGTATTCAAACCTTTTGACTGCAGCTGCACTCCAGTTAGATGCGAGAACCCCAGCAAGGGTTCCCATGATTAGCTGCAGAAGGCAGCCCCATTGAAAGCAATCAGAAGCCACCAACTCTCATAGCTAATCACGGTCACCCAAATGTAATCACTCATGCAGTCATCACATGTGAGCAATCGGCCTTGGATGCTGACTGACTGCGCCTAGAACCGATCACTTGCATGTTATTGCTGCATCAGAGATTGCATTCCAGTGGCCGCAATTAGATGAGGAAGCTTGCAGCCTCCCATTGCTTTCAATAGGGCTACCTCCCACAGATCATTTCTATCCCCCACTACTAAACAAGCATTTAACCATTGCTGTTAGGGGCAAGGAGGGCACACACTGCATAGGTATTTTTGTAATGTAATGCACAACAAGCACAATGCAGTGGAAGCGCACCTAAAAATTCTTGTTCAAGTCTGTGTTTATAAGCAATGTGGAGAAATTAATCTTTAAAATTCCCAATACAGGCAAAAAAATTACAGTTCCTTTCCTCTTTATCCTACCCTAGAATCCTTATAGTTTGCCAAACACTAGGTACTTGTAAGTTGTTAAAACCAGACCAAAACCAGACTTTAGTCTTTATTGTGATCATCGCATATAAATTGAATTACAAGCAATTGGAGACATGGGGATTGGCATGTTTAATAGCCTATAGTGAATGCCTATAGTCTGGACATAGGTTCACAATACATCTTGAATGGTATATCCATTCCTAACTGGCTTCCAGGTGATGGATTTAAAGGATAAAGCACCTTAAAACAAAGTGCATGTATGCTGTTTGCCCCTTTCCTTCGCCTCCTTGCCCTCCACCT